ATTTATATATATATTATACATTTATACTATGCACAATATTTCGTGATCATTCAATAATAGTTGACAACAAAAGATATTTCAAATATTATAGAAACACTGTAATTAATTTTATTTGCAAATAAAAAATTATTATATATTCATTGTATTTTATATGTTTCTTTGAAACCTTGAATGATTTCAGCACTCTTTATATTATCTTATATACTTTATATTATTTATTTGAAAAGTGACAATTTTGATTTATTTAAATTATTAATTTTATAATAAAACAGTCATAGCACTGTAAAGTAAAGAAGACATAGTAATCAATCCACAATTTGTTTGATATTAGTATTCTGTAATTTTAATTTACAATCTGCAACTATGTACAAACAATACAGTTCATTATTTTTATATTAATAAAATAACATTGTATTCTGGATAGAGATGTAAATAGAATAATTATATTTACATCTTAAATTCAAAAATTATAAAATATTTTTTAATTTTTTTAAACAATTTTTTGACAAATTTCATTTTTATTTAAAAAAAAGATATACTTTTGAATAAGAATAAAATATTTAAAAATAATTTTAAATATTTGCATCCAGGCAATATTATCTTCTCTTAAATTTGTTTTAAAATATGTTATTTATAAATTATATGTATTTTATGTTAGATATTTAAATAACATTTTTATTGACTTTCTCATTTTATATTTTATTTTTAAGAAAATCATTAAAGTCTATATATTTCAAAATATAATTTATTATTTAAAAATATACATTTTTTTATTGAACAAGAAATTATAAAATTGTGTTTAAAAATTTAATATCTATGAATTAATAGATTTCAATAGACTGAAAACATTATTAATGTTACTTATCAGAAAGACTTAAACCTCTATGAGGTGCATTTATTTATGGAAAAAATAAAAAAAAATAAAGTTGATATTATATTTTACAAATAAATATATATATATATACATGTATGTATTATTAAGTATTGAAATTTTAAAAATGATTATAATTTGGAGCATATTTATTAGTAATAAAGTTTTAGAATATTTTTTTTGCATTTGCGTTTTGTACTATTGAAATTAATTGTGCCTTTTTAAGTGTTCACTGTTAATAAATTGAAATTGATGATATAATAGCAATTCTTTAAGAATTTTATCAGTGCATAAAATAAATTTCATCTCAAAAAATATCTTTATATGAATTCACTATATATATATGTATACATATATAAAGTCATTACACTATCGTATATCAAATCATTCTTTATATAATTATTATGCAATGTTGTGTTTATAATTTAATTATATTTATAGTTTTAAATAAAATACATTTTGTAAAAATTAGAAAAATTATTGTATATGATTTTTATATCATATATTTTAAAATGTATGAAATCTATGAAAATGTATTATTAATTGATAAATTAATCGAATATACACGATATATGTAAATGTTATGTGGATACAATCTTATACATATATATTAATTTGTTTGCACAAAATTGTATAAATATGAAAATAATAATGTATCAAAAATAATTTTGACTTTTGAATTTTGTATTAATTTAATAATAATACTTATCAATGTAGAAAGATTTTTAAAATAAAATTTTTTAAAAAAATGTTATATTTATGATACTAATTATAATTTATATTTTTTTAAATACCCGTTATATAAAGCGAAAATTGGACAACATTTTCAAGTATCCAATGAAAAATTGAAACGTATAGAAACTTTTCTTATCACTATAATTTATTATTATTATTATTAACATCCAAAATATAAGTTACTATTAATCATTTATAAAATGGTTAAAGAAATGAATATAAAAGTGTCAGATTTAAATTGAAACATTTAATACAAAAGAAATATGTTCGAGGTTAAGGAATATTTTTTAAGATTATAAAGCAAGATTATATACATACTCTCATAACAAATTATTTTTTCTATTGTTATTTTAGAAAGAGTAATGCATTTTATTTTTGCTAACAAAATTTCATAAAAATACTACTAAAATGAGTAGTATTAAACTCGATGTACAGTGGTCTCCAGTTCATGCTAATAAATTTATTACATGGGGTACAGAAATTTGTTTATATGAAGTTATGCAAATAAAAGAAAATAATAGACAATTATGTAAGTAAATATTGTTTATAAAATATATTTATAATATATTTGATAAAAAAAATGAAATTTTCTTGCAGATAAGATTTCTGATTCTACAGTTGCTCATTTACTTGCAACGAATACCAATCATCATTATGTTAAATGTATTGATATATATCCGCAATTGGAACCAGATATACTGTTAGCTGTTGGTCAAGCAAATGGAAAAGTTGTTTTAACTACTTTTGCTCCAACAATCTTTGATTCTCAAGGTCTTAGTGGAAAAGAACTAGGTATATTATTTTAATAAATAATTAAATTTATATTTTATTGTATTTAAGAATTATGTAATTATAGTTCCAAAACATGCCAGACAATGTAACGCAGTTGCTTGGAATCCAATAGATACAAATTTGATTGTATCTGGTTTAGATAAACATAGTAAAGATCATTCCATTTTATTGTGGGATATAAACAAAGGTTTACATACTTCTGAAAGAATACATCATCATAATACAGTACAGATAGATTCTGTGAGACCTATAACAGAAGTTGGTGTTTCTGAAACTGTACATTCCATTGCTTGGTTTAAAAATGAACAAAAATGTATGGTAGTTGGCACTAATAACAAACAATTAAAAATCATTGATTTTAGAGGTATTAATATAAAATAATATAAAACAATCTAATTACATTTTTTAAACTATTTTGCGTTATATATATTAAATTATTTAATATTAGATTCTGCAAAAGTAATTAACACAACAGCTACTAAAGCAGTTTATAATGTATCAGTGAATCCACACAATAATTATCATTTACTTTCAAGTGTTGATAATCAAATAACAATTTGGGATACAAGATGCTTTGAAAAACCTGTTTTAACATTGTCGCAAAGTAGACAAATTACAAAGGTTTTATGGTGTCCAACTAGACACAATCTTCTAGGTGCTTTACAAAAAGACTCAGGTATTTTAATTTTTTTTTAATATAATTATAAATTGAATAAATATAATATTATCATTTAATATTATTATAATTTCTTAATTAATATAATTAATATAATTTCTTATATTAATAAAGTGACACTACATTTATATGACATTCAACATTGTGGAATTGGAGGAGGAGAAGATACAGAACCTGGAGCATTAGAAAGAACAGTTGCGCCACCTTGGCATAGTCCTGTAAGTTTTTCGTGGCATCCAACACATGTGAATAGATTGTTGGCAATATCTCAACAAGGTTTGATTATATTATAGCATTAATTTATAAAATTCTTGAATAAAATGTTTTTGATCTTGTTTTATTTCTTTAAAGGACTTACAGATTATACAGTTTGTGAAAGAATTACAGTAAACTGGTCAACACGGTCTCATCTTGTTTGGAATCATGCTTCTAAATCATTTAAATATATATGTAGTAATGATAATATTTATAAAGCTCTGAATGATATTTCTATTTTAACTAAAACACGTGCTACTTCAGAATATGGTTTACTTGTAAGTTAAAGAAAGTTATATTTTATATTATATAATATATATGTTTTAATATATATATTTATAGCCAGAGCTGGCTCAGAATGGAGAATTAGCAGAAAATGATACTCTCAAAAACTTGTGGCAATGGTTGTACTTAAGTCGATATTTGGTAGAAGATGGTACTATACCATGTGCAGATAATAAACATCCAGGTGTTAGGTAAATTAAAGATTTTCTGATAGTATATTTAAAAATTCACAAAATAATATTTGTTAATATTACATAGAACAGTTTTAAAGTTAGATGGACAAGGATCTAATAATGGTTTTTTAAAATCGGAACTAATTCATCGTCCTTGGTCGGATATAGGATCTAATCATACTGCAAAAATTTATAGGTATAAAATATTAATATTGCATGATATCAAAGTTTTGTAATATAGTTTTATGTTATAGATCTCCAGACAGAGATAAAGGATTACTTTTATGTGGTTGGAGATTTGATAAAGACACCAATAGCCTTTATGATAATTTATTTTTAGAAAGATTAGAAAGAGAAGGTGCATATCCAAGAGCAGCAGCAATAGCAGTTTTTAATTTATGTTTACGGCAAGCAATAGAAATTCTAAATCGAGGAGCTACTAAAATGTCAATGTCTACAAATTTAAATATTGTTGCTATGGCTTTATCAGGATTTTCCGAAGATAGAAATAGTATGTGGAGAGAATCATGTTTAAAGTGTAGATCTCAACTCTCAGATCCTTATTTGAGAGCAACTTTTGCTTTTTTAACAGCAGATGATTCATATGAAAATGTTTTAGTAAGTATACATGAATTTTTTCTTATAAAAATTATTTATGTAAATAATGAAAAAAATATTTATAGAATGAAAATGGTATGGCAGTTGAAGATAGAGTAGCATTTGCGCTTATGTTTTTATCAGATAATAAATTAAATGAATATTTAAAAAAATTAACTCAAAAATTGACTGATGAAGGAAACTTAGCTGGTTTTCTTTTAACAGGTTTGTATAGGAAATTTACATAATCTATAATAAATCTGTTAATATAAACTCTAAATTTATAATACATTTTATCTAGGTGCCAGTTTAGAAGGTATACAATTATTAAATCGATATTTAGAAATTACTGGTGATGTTCAAAGTTGTAGTTTGATAGCTATAAGAGCATTTACACCAACATTGCTCCAAGAAAACCAAGTTCAAGTTTGGATTACTAGGTATTGCAATAAATAATATTTATTTGAAAAATTGTAAAAGGAGATAACATTAAAAATTTAGTTATAGAAATTTATTAAATGCATGGAAAATGTGGACCCAAAGAGCTCATTTTGATATTGCCATGCGATCTTCAACAAATGAAAAACCTCCTCAACAGATATATGTTTCTTGCAATTTTTGTGGTAAAAGTATATCAGCTTTCATGCAGGGTTTGAGTAGAGCAAGAGGACCTTTTGGTAGACTAGGAAGTACACCCAATAAATTAAAGGTAATTTATATATTTTTATTTGAATAGTTTATAAAATAATAATTAAAATAAAATTTTCTTTATGCATATAGATGTCGTCATGTCCAAATTGTAGAAAGCCATTACCACGATGTGCAATTTGTTTAATGCATATGGGTACAGTGAGTGGATTACAAATGACAACATCTGGAGTTAGTAGAAGTGATGAATGTGATAATAAATTGACAGAATTCAGTAATTGGTTTACATGGTGTCAAACATGTAGACATGGTGGTCATGCTGATCATATTACACATTGGTTTCGGTAATATATTTTAAAATTATGTACATATTTTTAGTTTTCTGTATACATTTTATCTTTTGTAACAATATATTGTTTTGTTTATATAGTCAACATTCAGAATGTCCAGTGACTTCATGTACATGCAGATGTTTTTCTTTAGATGCATCATGTAAAATAGCAGTAAGTATAATATAAATAAAAAATGAAATCATAAAAATTATAAATATTAATAATATTCATTTAAGTTTTAGGACATTATTTTATATATTTCTTGGAATAAAACATAAATATTAGAAATAAAGGATAATGAATTTTGCTTATTCTATTTATAGATACAATTTCATTTTGTTAAAAAAATATAACTTATAACTTTAAATATATGTAAAAATGATAGTATTCTCATAAGAAATTGATGTATAATTGATTTTTTTTATCAACACTTTATAAAGCATTTCTACAATGATTAAAAATCATTATTTTCTTCCTCACATTCACATTCTGTCAATTTTTCAACTCCTATTATATTTAATATAACCATCAGTTCATTATATTGATCAGCATCTGTAATATATATATATATATATATATATATATTGTCTTTATAAATATTTTTTTCGTTATATTCATAATATATGCATATATAATATTCATATATTCTGTTTATGATATAATATTAGATAGTATATTTACCAAATTCCTCAGTTAAACTAAGAGGAAACACTATATAATTACTACAATTCATTGTAGATTTAGATTGCAAAGTGCCATGTACTTCTATATAACCTTCTGCATTGCCATCAATTGGTTCTGGTAAAGTTACATTTACTTGTACACCATCAGTTGTTCTTAATTCTAAATTTCTACCATTTGAACTTTTCTAATGATAAAAAGATGCAATAAGATGCAATAAATTAACATAATTAATTTTAATAAAGCAAATAATAAATATATAAATAAATAAATCGTTGCTATTAGAATATTATAATCATATTTATATCGTTTCTTTTGCTAATATTAAAACAAACCTTACTTTTCCTATAGTTCCAAGTAAAATTACTTGTTCTCCAATATTTTGTGCCAATCGACGGCCATCGATACGTTTCTTCATATTTTTTGTTAACAATCGTTCCTAAAAAAAAAAGATATTTCAGTAATAATTTAACTTATAATCAATATAATATAAATGTTATGGAACGGCAAATTCCAATACTCAACATTACCAAATCATAGAATTTGAAAGATTTCGCTTGAAATCTAATGAGAGAAAAAAGAATCGATTAATAATGATTCGCTAGTAGGATTACTGTGTAGCAATTATTAAATATAATATAGATAGTATAGATAATGTTTGATGCCAATGATGGGAGTCATGAAGATGACAAAAGAATAGAGAAAAGAAAAAAGACAAATTTCGAAAATATCAAAAAATTTTTCTTGCAAATATATATTTATTTATCTATCAAAAGTGACATGAAACTGATTTCAGATTAAACATTTTAAAATAAATATAAAAATTATAAGATTTGTCAAATATAATTTACAATATTTTTCAGTTAAACTTTAAAAAAAGTAATTTGAACTTTTATAAACTTTAATGTAAAAATGATTTAAATTAATTTTTAGAATTTAGTGGTTCAAAAATTATTTTCATAAAATTGCGAATTTTTAGGGATTTTTGTAAATTATATGTCATTATATGAATTTTTATCCAATTCAAATAAACGATAGAAATAGAAACGCGCCAAATTTAATTATTTTTCAATTGAATAATGAAAATGTATCATCTAAGTTCAATTCAAATTTAATAATAAATTAATATTATATTTTAATAATAAATTAATATTGTAATTAAATTATAATACTAATGTTGATTATCTTAAAATAAGCAAAAATTAAAATTTAATTTAATTTAAATTCAATATTTATAAAGTGATTTATAAATGAAGAAGAAAATATTATGATGCAATAAATTAATATTAACATTGAAGACAATATTACGATTTTGCGTATTATTTATATATTTGTATATTTGTATTTGTATATTATTTTTTAAATAATAAAATATTAATTATATCATGAAATTCTTTAATCAGAAGACGATTTAAATTTGATTCATATTTTTTTCCTCCAATTAAATCTAATATAACATATAATTTATAAAAAACCCTAAAATCAAAATACTACAAAATATTAAAATCATCATTTTGAAATTCATTTTGCGATAAAATTTATAAAAATAAAATAA